GAGAAAATTCTTCCAGAAGCATATTATCAATAAGTCAAAAAGTTTTTCAGCATGGAATTCCATGTATTAATTTATATATCAATTCATGTCTCCATATTGTATCATATGCTGCACTTCGATCTTAGTAGAAAGGCAACTGGTGTTTTTTGTTTCATTTGATACCCAGCTTCTATATAGGTTCTTAATGAAAGTATTTGATCAATGCAGCTTTGAGCAGGGTGGAATCCGGTTGTTCCAATGGAATTATCTGAAGGATTTTATGGCTAATTTTATTGTGCATAAGTCTTTTGAGAACCTTATAACCAGTACTTAACAAGGTAAGGGGGACAATGACTGTTTGCGTCCATGACATTCCTTAAGTCACATGTATCCCCTGGGCAGTGCTAAGCAACAGTCCCTTCAAGGCAAAACATCTGAAGCCTTGAAGGTACAGGAGCCAGTTAAACCTAGTGATTTCCTGGTGATCTCCTGGCTATATCACATCACATTTTATGAGATAAAACAGTAAAATAATAGATAACGTCTCATAATAAAATACACCCACACATACCAAATAAATACAACCAATAAAATAACCAAAATTAAATTAAAATAAATACTCCATAACAAAACATAAAAGAATGAAATTAACCAAAAACTTGTTTAAATAAAAAAAGTTTTAATCTGGCATCTCAAAGAAAGAAGAGTTACATTTCTGCTTCTCCATTTCTTCTCAATAACTTGGAAAGGAAGGTTAGGTTCAGAAAGAGTGACTGACCCAGAGTCATCCAGAGTTTCATGGTTCAGTGGGAATGTGATTATAAAATGCATAATGATCACATGCTTATGCATAGAATTAAAAAGCACATAATTTTTAAATAGGATAAAGAGGATGCTATAGGAGCAGCAAGAATGGAAGATCAGCTATAACACCATCCAATGTAACAGAGCAGACCTATGCAGTCTGCTTGGAAAGAATGCCTACAACCATCAATGGGGTTCACTCCTGAGTATGTTGAGACCTGCAGCCCAGCATTTCAAAGATGAAATAGGCTCAACCTTATGATACATTAAGGGTGCAATCCTAGCATGTTTAGCCTGAAAAAGGCCCTACAATTCCCAGGCCCAGTGCTTTTTTTGTCATAGAATGCATGGGAACGGAATTCTGGCACCTTTTTTCAACAGATTTTCCAAGTTTTAAAAGTAACTTTTGAAAATTTGATGTTTGGTCCACGTGGATTTGAATCACCCTGTTGAGTGTAGCAGGTCGGTGGCAAAATAATTAAAACGGTGCATGCAGGCTGCTTGTGTGTCGAGTCCAATGCATGTGTACTTTGTCTGCGCAGGTTGTGATGGTGCTGCTTGGCCTGTGGCACTGCTCGGTTTGTGATTGGTCGTGTGGTCATGTGCTGAGTACTTACCGCGGGCAGCAACTGATATGTTTCGTTACACAACTGACGTGTGTGGGTGTGTGTACAGTGATTGACTATGTGTAAAAGGTAAATAATTTCATGAGTTCCGGCACCTTTTTTCTTACAAAAAAAGCACTGCCCAGGCCTAACATTCCTTAGCCAACATGAACCTTTTTCTGTCTAAATATGCCCTCACCTGACCAAAGCCAATTCAAAACAACAACCCTAGAAATATTTTAACAAAGGTATTCATTTATGACATTTTTATCCTGTCCTTCAACCAAAAAATAAAATAAAATTAGAAACTACAGCCATGGTTTCTACATCACAGAAGTTTTGTGTCAAAATAGAAGTTAGCAGCATTGAAAACAATGCCTGACTTCAGATGAGAAGTAAAGAGAATATCCTAAATAAAATACATGAAGGACCAGTAGATAAGCCCATTTGATCTGAGGGCTGGTGCAACACATAGCCTCCTAACACTAGGATGGTGCTTCTGGACAAGGTTTTTACACTGGAATTGTCTTGCCTTATTCACAGAATTATGGAGCAATTCCCATCTGTAACACTTCCCCATCACATTTCTTCATCACGTCTTCTGCACTTTTTCTAATAAGTATATCTTTTAAGGAAAGAAAGGTATCATAGAATGCTTCTGATTAGCAGTGTGAGGAATTGTCTGCCTGAAAGCACCTTAAAGCTCCCTACCACAAGGTACAAGGCAAACAGATACTAGAGAGAAAGATGGGAAGTATCAAGTAAAAACTTACAGAAAAGCAGTAAATCAGGGGCAGGGAATCTTTTTCAACCTGAGAGCCAGTATCCATTGCCTGAATGGTCTCAGTGTCTGCATCTCATCTGTGCATGTGGCCAAAGGAGGAATGGGCAGGCCAAATGTGATCATCACTGATTCTAAGCCTACTCAGAAATAAGCAAGACAAGGATTTTGCATATCTGCTCCAAATTACTGCTTCACTTTCAAATAGTAGCTATATACCAAGCCTCATGTCCATACAGAAGTGAGCAAGAGTAGTATCTATCAGCTCAGAAATAAGCAGAACAAACTTCAAAACCAGAACTCTGCAGGTTTCTACCCAGGTCCTTTTTCAGAGAAAAACAGTATTTTGTCTCCCATTCTCAGAGCACAGAAAGGAAAACCCCTCTGATGAACTGCTCATTGGAGATACCGACTTTTCTGCAGCTGATCAAAGATATAAGATCTTCCCTTGCAAAAGATCTTAAGAGAGGTTAGATAGGTGGACTTTTGTGAGCTAAAGTTCCCTTATCCCTGTGTTAGATGGATGTGCAAATCTTGTAAGCACAAACCTGAGGTTTTTACTGCCACATGCCTCACCAAAGACAGCTGTGTAAGAGTGAACTCTCCAGGTATTCCAATGAAATTAACAGCTCTTAGTTAAGATAAATTTAGCAGTTTAACTAGATTTAACTTTACGAAAATCAGAGAAATGTTTCTGTGAGGCAATTCTAGTACACTGGTCTGTTTTCAAAGTGACTTTGTGATGATTCCAAATTATTTATGCATCACTGTCTTTTGCATGTCTACTCGGTCAAAGTAAGTTCAGTTGAATACATGGGGACTTCATGGGGACTTCCAGAAAAGGCTTTTATTGTGCCTTGGCTCTCAGCTGTTTCACAGACCATTACAGAAGAGAACCAGACAATGTTTTTCTCTGGTAACTTTCCCACAACTTCTGCCATTTTCTATACTAGCTAAAGTCCATTAGGAGAAAATAACAGAATATTCAAATACAACCTAATTGTTAGCACTAGAACCCCTTTGCCTGGAAACACCCTTATTTTCAAGTAAGTGTGTATGTGAGCTTTTAGTCTTTAGCTATTAGCAAAACAAGTTTACTTAAAATATGAATTATATAAATTATTATGTCCATAATACTATATATTACTATATACGTTACTATGCTTTATATTACTGCAGTGTAGGCCTGTAACAGTGACAATGTATTTTACAAAAATAAGGTGGGAGGCAGTTTTCTGAACTCAGAAGCCAGAGATCACCTTTGCTGCTTGTATAGAAAGGACAGTGCTGGATACCCTCCTGTTGGCCACAGTGGGGTTCTGCCCTGGTGTGCCAGCCCAATTATCCATGACAATGGAGTAACAGTAAATATAAAGGTTCACTGCAACTCACAGTCTCAGAGTCTCATTCAAACTTTTCGCATCATTTATATACTTTTCCACACAAAGGATGTCAGAAGCTCTACTCTGGTTGGCTATTATTTGCCGCAGTACAGGTCTTCTTTCTATACCTGCTTGCAACTGTGTCTACCATTTGACATTTGCCAAAGCTCCTACTGTTATCTGTTAAAACTATGTATTTTACTTGGTGTTTTTCATTACCTTAGCCTCACGTATCACTTCGTACATGACCTGCACACTTGATGCTTATAGTTGCCTAGGCCCATCCAGAAATCATCCCATGTCGCCTTCACTCCAAGCTTGAAAACTGAGTAGGATATGGGGCATTCTGGAAGGTGAGAAGCTAAGGAGACTGAAGAAGCCAGAATATGTGTTATCCTGAGCCTCCTCCAGCCTCCTTCTCTTTTGCTCTGAATGTGTTAACTACTGAAAATTGGGAAAGATGGAGGATGCAGAGACAAAGATCCTCTCTGCTGCACCTTACACCCTTCAGTTCCACAGGGCTTAAGAATCTCGGAAGTGTCCAACTTTAGAGCCCTTTGCCATTAAAAAAACTTCTTTCTGATGGAACGATAGGACTGCTGCCTACAGAATTATTGTAAACCTAACTCTTTCTTTTCTACTTTTCTATTAGGTAGGAATTACATGTGTGGATGAATCTTTATAATAAAAAGTTCCATTTCACACTAACTGCTCCTGTGTGCAAATAATATATTTGTATACATAATCAGCACTTCCACTGTTATGATAGTTGTATCTCTAGCCTATTTCAGATTCTAGTAGACAGGAAATAAAAACCTGTCATAATGCCAAATTTGTTCCAGTAGCTCACAGGCTTGCCATTCTCTCAGCTCCCCCTGCTCCATGGGAACAGTAATATTACTGTGCAATCCTAAATCAACACAGCTGACTGGAGTATGCTGGGAATTGTAGGCCTGTTTTTCTGTCGCAACTTGCATAGGATTGCACCTACGAGTTATTTTCTCAGCGCAGGATGCACTTGCTATACATTCAAAAACATTTCAGTCTAAAATAAAGTAACACTTCACGAATGACTTTTGCCTCACACAGGAAGACCTGGTTTTGAAAATGCATGCCTTTGTATCTTTGCTTCTACTTTTCGGAAGTGGGGAGGTGAGAATTCCCCGCTGCCAAATCACTGCAACGATAAAGTCCGAAAACCTACGTGGTTTCCCCGCGTCTAACAAGAGAGACGTCATCAAATTGCAACCCGGGCATCCGGGTTGCTGCGCGACCGAAGAAAACCGTCGTCCTCTCTATGGTGAAACCGATACGTTCCTTCGTCTATGGCAGAGCGCTAGAAGACCGTAAATAAATTATCTCTCTATAATGTTGAAGCTCTAGAGGGGCGGAAATTCCACTTGGAAATAGCGTCCGGCCAGTTACGCGTGCTCTCGAAGCTTCGTTCCGCCTCCAGGAACGCTCCCCATTGTCGCGGTCTTAGTTGGCTGAGCTTAGTCCAGGCCAACAACCGCTTCGTTCCTTAGGCCCGGAGCGGCCCACAATTGCCATGGCGAATAATAACACCCTAAAGGCGACTCCTTGGAGCGAAGAGGGCCTAGCCGGCGGCAGCCGCCAGTTCTCAATCGCTTGCTCTTGGGAGTGCCGCACGGACCTGGCGAGCGTCGTGCGCCTCGTCTCGGAGGGGGAGCTCGATGCCGCCTGGGAGCTTTCGGGACCCGCGCCGACCGGGTAAAGAGGGCACCTTGGCTCGGGGTGGGGAAGAACAGGGATGGGAATGAACACCACGGGGCCGGGGCCTGGATATCCTTGGCAGCGCAGGTGACTGTGGAGGAAGCCACGATGAGGGAATGTACCAAGGGGGCGGTCGCAACGCTCTCGGTTCGGTTGGCAGGTGAAGTCCCCTGTGGCCACCGCGAAGGTGCACTGTCAAAGGGCTGGCCCAGATGCCCCCTTCTGTCCCAGATGCCCCCTTCGGCCTGAGCAAATGCAAATTGAAAACAGCAGTAGAATCTTGTAGGGCCCTTAAAGGGTGACGGTGGTAGGGTCGTATCTACGCTTTAGTCCTACTTAAAGTATGCCCATTGAAATGAATGGGATTGAAGTTAGACTGATACCGGATAGAGTCTTTAGCCTGTTGACCTAAGCACAATTATGGAGTGTTAAGTTCCACTGAGTTCACATAGATGCCAGCAAAATCCCTCTTCTGGAACCCTCTTTGAAAAGAGGTCAGGAGACAGAGTACTCGGAGGAAAGCCTTCTCTGTGGTGGCACCCCAACTATGGAATGTGCTCCCTAGAGAGGTCCACCTGGCGCCGTCATTATATGCTTTTCGGCGCCAGGTCAAGACCTTTTTATTTGACCAATATTTTAACATATAGTAATTTTAATTGTGTTAGATTTATTTAATTTTTAAAATAGATTAGTTTTATGCTCAGTGTGGAACAGTTAACTTATTTTATTGAGGATTGAAATAATGTTGTAAGCCGTCTAGAGACAACAGTGATGGACAGCCTACAAATTTTCTAAATAAATAAATGTAGGACAATGCTGCTTTTGTAGCACAATCTTTTATGGACTTGAGTCCACTTCATAATACAGTATATAATTTAAAAAAGGATGCAGATAAGAGAACCATTTCAGTTCATCACTCTTTAAGATGGTTAATGTCTGTGACTGGAAAAGCCCTTTATTACATTTTAAAATTAGCATTATAGGGACAAAGCCTTACACCTGACAACACTAATTAATATAAAATTAAAATACTTTTCCAGTTCTCACCACTAGCTATCTTGCTACAATGGTGGCACTTTATTTAAAATTATTTTAACGCTGCCTTTAAGGTAGAATGGAAAGGGTTGTTGTTCTCCCATTATTTAAAATATATTGTGGTGAAGTTAATGTGTATATGTATTATCAGAGTATATGACTACAGGACTTTTTATTTAAGTGGTGTTCTGCTATTTTGCTATTTTATTTATATTTTTTATTTTTTTAGCAGAAAAGTGTTTAGTGCTACTTAAAAGATAAGTTAAAAAAGGGTGAGTGAAGTAGCACCGACTGCAAAAGCTATTCTGAACTTTTAAAGCATATTACTCTTTTTTGTTGTTAAAAATTTCTTATGGAATCAAATAGAGAATAGCTTCATAATGTGATTGTTAGTGTTAAGAGCCTTTTGTCTGAAAGTGCCTTTCTGAGGTAAGAAATAGGATGAAACAGCACTAAGTAAGCACAGAAGGCTCATAAATGTATGATGAAATGTATGTTACCATGCCACAGCAATTCCAGAATAAATGCCTTGCCTAGAAGAAGCAATTTCTGGTGCCCAGAAATTTTGATTTGGCTTCAAAGGCTACCCAATTTTTTTTGGCCCTCTGCTTTAGGGAGTCACTTCCAAAGGTGTAATCTGTGTAACTGATTCAAGCCCCTTGTTTTCATAAGGTTAGGGTTTCCATAGTTCAAGTTCTCAGGCATTTTCATTCTGAAGACCCTGATTGTAGGACTGGCTGTCTTAAGTTGCATATAAACATGAACATACAGCAGTAATAGTCTTCATCACAACAATGCAGTGCTCCCATAGTATTCTATCAAATAACAAACTTTTCTTGTACAAGAAGCAACTAAGGGACAGATCCAGTTCTATGAAATATATCACCATTTCCAGTTTGTACATCTCAGTTTTAATGTGTAAAATTGAGTTTTGATGTATACCTCCATCCTGTGTGTACAGCTATAAATTTACTTTCTAATGTGAACCTATAGTCAGATTGGGATGGACAGATTCAGATTCAGACTTTCAATTAACATTTGAAAGGTAGATAATTTAAAACTGTAAATTGTGGGTTAAACATTTTCAGATTGTTTTTGTATACAATCTATTTGTTATGAATTTGATTTAAAAGTTTACCATCCAGGAATTACTAGTTCACTATCTAGGAATTATTTGTGCTTTACAGTGTATAATATAAGTTGACCTTTCCCCACACAGCTCATCTAGTGAGAGTGTTGTGCTTCTTGAAGGACAGTTAAACAATGACGGTATCCCTCCATGTTTACTGTACTTGCACTGTGATCCTCATGGGTCTGAAGAAATTGTTGGGCTTGGCATTTTGAGTGAGGCACGGAACATGGAAGTCTACATAGGAGAAGAGTACTATGCAACTGGGAGGGGAGAGAAAGTCATTACTTTTGAATATGGCAGGTCAGTAGTTTGTCTTTTTACATTGTTCAATCAGTCTACCCACTGCTGATTAGATATTCAGCCTTGTAAATAAGTCTCCAAATATTACTAGCTCACAATATTACTAGGTACACTAATAGCCTAGGGAAAAAAAGAGCCATGTACATCTATTTTATTCAGATTTTCCTTTCTGATCAAATGGAGTTAGTTTCTGGCTTGTATACTCCATTTTCTGGGGTATACAAGCTTGGCATATTTACTTCTAAGGTGAGGAAAGATCACTTTTAAGGTCGTTTCAAGTAAGTTTTTAAAGATTCAAAGGAGCAGTGCCAAGTTCAAGAAATTATATTTATTTACTTATTATTCTTCTATATTACCCAGTAGCTGAAGCAGTGTAAGTATAAGAAGTATCTTACTTTTGAAATGTAATGAGGGAGCTGCCATTAATTAAAAAAAAAAAACCTGCTGGTGAAAGGGAAAGGTTGGATATTGACTGAAGTACTGTTAACAAGCAATTTAAACCTCAAAGGAGTAAAGGAGAATATGAGGATCAAATATTGTGGAGGTGGACTTGTGCAAAATTTGAGCATTGTATTCATAAGGGCTCATAAAATTAATTTCATTTGGTAAGCTGATGCCCTAAATAGCCATCAAGCTGTGAACCTATTGCAGAAAGCTACTGATACAGAGATCGAGGTAATGAGGAGTTCTTTTGCAAAGCTGGCTGAGATATATGCAGGAGTCAGTAGGAGAAATAAGCGGGAATTAGTGGAAAAACAAGCATGTCGTCTGTTAAGAGAATAACCAAATCATGGTGACTTATGCACAGCGTGACTGAATATGACACGTGAACCTGCCCATTGCCAGAAATACAGTATAGAACAATATGGCAGAATTTTCTGAGACTGTACAGAAATGGATCTTAAATGCAACAAAACAAATAAAGGGTTACATAGTTAATACAGTAGATAGACTGCACCTGGTTCACGTGTAACAACAGTCATGAATTGTATGGGTTGTGTGGGAGCAAGTGTGCTGCCTCCTGCTTGTTTGTGGCTTCCACATTGCATCCAATTTCTGAACAGGGTTCAGTTGTTTGATGCAACATCCAAACCTAGAACTCTGGGTTTTTGAGGAGCAAATAACCTAGAGTTTAAGCCATGGTTTGTTGTTGGGTTTGTTGTTGCTTGTTCACTCCTACACATCTGCAACAATTCATGGGTTAAACAGCCAATGAATTTCCATTACCTGGAAACCAGGTCAACTTACCCTGCTAACAGGTGAGTTTCCCGAGTTCATACAGGGAACATATTGGGACAGAGCTGTTGCTATACCTTGATGACTGATTCCCCTGGTCTAGAGGCAATTGAAGTAAACTTCTGGTCAAATTCATTAGTTTCTTCCAATTTTGATTGACTAAAAATTGTTTTGAATATTGTTTATGCAACTGTTTCCAATATACATAACATGAATTTGAGTTGAATTTCAACATTTTAAGCAAAGGATGAGATCCAAAATGATGTGTGCACACTGGGGCATTCCTCATCATCTCACTGTCGTTGTTAGTGGCCTCCTTGCCCTAGAATTATCTTCTGGAGCAGGATTCAACATGGCGCGAGGGAAGCCACTGGAATGGGAAATGGGCAACAACCACCCTACGCATCCATGGAAGTACTTTTCACATGCAAAGGGTTATCTGGATTTGTGATCTAGGTACATATTATTTTTTTATGATACTTAAATCTCATCTCACCTAATGCAGACTATTGAAAAACTGGGAAGCATATGTCAATGTTGCATTTACTGGGTAATAGACAAGTGCCATGAAAGCTAGATCAGTGGACTTACCAGTGTTAAATTTATGTAATGATGGTATATACAATTTTCACCGCTTATTCATTCTGTTTTTCCAGCAAAAAAGACAAAGTTACTTTGTACAAAAAGTATCTTGGATTGGAGTGTTCTACAGCCTCTTGTAAAATTAAGGTAGGAAGTTAAATATTTTTAATTTCATTTTTTGATGATGAAAGGATGATAAATAAAAGAAAAACCCCCAGAGTGCCTTGCTTTGTGTTCAGGTATGAATGCTGGAGAACATCAAAAAAGGAAATGTAACAAGAAGATGTATTTTGCAATAGATAGAATAAATCTGCAGATAGAATAAATGGTGTGTGTGTGTGTATCTAAAAGACAGTATTTTAAATAATTTGTTTTGCAAAGTAGTGGACTTAGGCATAAAAATCTGCATAATTGTCAAGTTTCTAAGGGAGTATCCCTTCCTCCTTGCGGACATACATTACAGCTACATTTCTTTACTCCCGAAGAAAGTATGCGTAAATGCTAGGCATGCAAGGTTGCATGTGTTTACTGCTCTCTCACATTTATTCTGCAGCCTCACCTTGACTATAGAGCCCCCATCTTTGGGTTCTGAGACCAGATAGCTGGTCTGGAGAGAGACTGTGGGCAGATAGTTTCAGCAATCCCATTATTTAGCAGGCACAGGTTTGGAGAGCTGTGTCTGCTAATGTAATGTGTATGTCCATTTTGTCCACAGAATATGCTTGGAAAACCAGACTAGGACTACATTGGCAGTTATTAAAGTGATACATCCAGTATTATTATTTGTTGATCAAATACATTTCTTGGCTAAATGTCAAAGCTGCAATCTTTCCAAGGCCATTTTTGTCAAACAATTTTTATATAGCAGGGCCTACTCCTGATTTTGTGTCCTTTTCTCTTTTCCCTCTTTTTTTCTTTTTTCTCTCTTTCTCCCCACCCACTTCCCAATCTCATTTCCATACCAAAAAGTAGTGTGAGTCATGAGACATGGAAATGAGAGAGGAATATTAGTTTCATGCTGTTCATGGAGGGCAGGCTGTGAGGAAGAATTGGAACTCCTGCAGTGCTTCTTTTCCTCATTGATATATACATAAGGAAGAAAATTGAGAGTACCCAGCTAGGTCAGGAGAGTTCTGCAGCAATTGCCTTGCTGTCTGTGTGAACAGCAGAAAGGATCCACTGTTTAGAAGCACTAACTCTGCTCTGCTGCCTGCTGAAAGCAGGAACCAATGCTAAATTGTGATGTTTGGCTGCACTCAGTCATCACCCTAAACCAAGTTTTAGTGCAGCTTGCACAAGTGGGCATGAGCCATAGTGCGTCTCAAACTCATATGCGCCTTCTCCCTCTGCCCCACCACACTTCCAGGGGAAGAAATTCAGAAGTCTTTGTTTCTGCTTTTGCTTAACTGGGTTTATCATGTCATCTGAACTGACAGACTTCATTTAGGATTAACTGTGATTAATTTCAAACAAGCTACCCCAAACCATCATTACGGAAGCTGATTTGCTTAAAGTAATCATAGTTGAAGGTAACTACTGTTCCAGATTGAGACAGCATGGTAATCTGTGCCTACTTTCAGTCTTCTTGCAGTTACGTAGGAGGAGAGTGAAGGGGTGCATGAACCCATTGTGGCTTATCCCTAGTTGGTCATGTCACATTAAATTAAGGCTTAACTGACATATAATTGCGGCCAGCTCCATAATAATCATCTTTCCTATACAAGTTTCCTACTTAGAATCTATTTCATTGTGTTAAAGTAATTAACAAATTAATATTACTCAATTATCCTTTTCCCACTAGCTACTGTCGCTCAGTGAAAAACAGAGGGTATTGATCAGTAAAATCATAGTACATGTCAAATCAGTTTGTACAAAATCTAAGCCAGTCTTCACTGAACTAGGATCCGGAATAGACCTAGACAAAGTACAAACCATAATGGAATCTGTGGGATCCAAATTATCACCTGGGGCACAACAGCTCCTGGATATGGTTCGTTTTCAGCAGAAGGTAAGTTATTGTTTATAAAATCTTATATATCTTTTGTGCTGGTGTATGACATTTTTCAGCTTAAGGAACAAATTCCATTTCAGAAAAGCTCTCAAGGCCATACGAGAGATCAAAGCCAAACATGTAAGCATGTCTCTGGGCATGCTTCTGGTTAAAGCTCTTACCACCAAGTACAAATAGTTAGCAAAGGAACTCCAACCTTGTAGAATGGAGGAATATTTCAGAAAACCCAGGAAACTACCACAAGTTTAGTTGTTAGGGGAAAGGTAGTAGGGCCAGAGGAGGTGATGTCATAACTCCAGAGGACTGGATTTGACCCTACACCTCTTGCAGTACTGGTGAAAGGAAGGGCTATATATTGTGAGATCTGTGCTTGGGATTTCTCTGTGCTGAGCCCATGCTGACAAATTGTATGCATCCATGCAGTGGAATTCCAGCCAGGGTGGGCATACACACCCAGTATCTAGAGTGAGAGCAAGTTTGGTCTCCTCTCAAATGTCAGCCAGATTTCTCCAATTTACTTTTATGGCTGCAGTTGACAGCTTAGGCAGCTCCAATCTGTATAACTTGTCTTTTCATACTCAAATGCAATCAAGAGATACATACTGTAAAAGACCTCTAAGATCCTGGAGCAGGTAGGTAATGGGGAAAATAACAGTGGAAACACAATATATTCTCCTCTACCCTAGTTATTACCTCTTCCTTTGTCTTGGACAATATTTAGGGCAAGTTTCTTCTTTGCTACATTTACTTGACTCCCTTAGAGGCTTCTAATATGGTTGGTTGTTTCCTAGCCAACAAATTTTGACAATTACAATGTTGAAAATAAAAGCAGATTCAATAAAACCTGCATTCCTCTGAACAGTAATAGGTAGCCTGGAGCCACTAGGTAAAGTGTGTTAGAGTTCAGTAGGATGTGGATAAGCAAACAGAGCATTCCACTAGTGGTCTGATAGGGTTCTTGGTACCAACCCCAAGTTGCCAGCTCAGGAGATGCTGATTAACTGTTGGGCCTTCATCTAATTGCTCACTTCAGCTTCATGTAGTGTCCTTACATTTTATTTCTGTTAGAATGGACTTCCTTTTGGAGGCAAGTTACAAAATATATTTGGAAAAAATGGATTTGTACCTGCAAAGAACCATAGTATCGATGGATTGGAGAAGTTACCTGTTCTGGGGAGATTAGATCACTTGTCCAATGGACCCTCTTTTCTGAAGGCTAATTCAGCAGCTGGAACAGTTATAGAAGATTTAAAGTTGCACACAAAAATGAACAAGCATGCTTCTAGTATGGAGAATATGTTTGTGCCTCCAGGCCTTCAAACTCCACAATCTTTTGCTGTAGTTCCTCAAAGTAATGCCAAAGGATTGGCATCATCTTTTTTACAAGACCAAGGAAAAGAAAACCCAAGTATGCCCAATTCCACACTTCTGCTTCCACTTCTTCAAACTGTATGTGGTCAAGTAAACCATCTACGAATAGATGAAAGGAGTAAACAATATGAGAGCAATTCCGGATCTGAGGACAGGGGAATTCAATCTATTAGGTGAGTTCTGGCTGTATAATCTTATAATGTTCTTTAGCATGACAACGGTTTTCCTGATCTGGTCTCACCAGGCAGTTGGATTAGCTAACTAAGAAGAGGAAATCCTCTGTTCCTTTTTACAATTGAATTTTGTTCAACTTTTGGATGTGCTGAAACCAAGGCCACCAATTTAAATGGCTTTACAAGGAAATTTGAATTCCTGGAGAAGAAGGCTAGCCCTGCTGGATGGGTGCTGTCTCTATTATCAGAGGCAGCTTGCCTGTGTGCACCAATTGCTGAGATGCTTGGCAGGTGGAGGTTGAACTTTTGTACCCATCCTGATTGAGGGATCTTGTGGGCAGCTAGTTTGCCACCCTATGAACAGAGTGCTGAACCGGATGGACCATTGATCGGATCCAGCAAGGGTTTTCTTATGTTCCTCAGTTCAGAGACTCACAGGAATCATTCCAGTAAATTAATGTCTGTTTGGTGGCAAGAACTCTAGGAAAGACTACTCCTTTGAGTATAAGCCTGTACTTAAAGGACAGTGAAGAGGAGGTTGTTCTTGATAATCTAAGGATTAGACTATTTTATACCTGTTTTTATTGAAGATGAAAGCACACCACTATGCAAGCTTCCTTACTTTCCATTTTAAAGTTGAAATATTTATATGAGTCTTGACTACTTTCCCTTATTTATACTTTCACCGTTATCCCAACTATCCATTCTGCTGTGTTGATATAACACTGGCATGAAATTATGGTGAATAAGGCTACTGATGTGTACTAGTTATTATCACTATATGCTACCGCTATTATGAAAGGTAGTATGCCTCTGAATAACAGCTTCTGGGGAACTCTAGCAGCAAGTGCTATTGTAGTTATGTCCTGTTTGTGGGCTTCTCAGAGGCATTAGGTTGGTCACTGTGGAAACAGGATGCTGGGCTAGCTAAACCTTTGACCTGATCTAGCACACCTTATCTTAAATTCTTGGGCTTCAGTCCCCAGTGTAAGCTCATGAAATAAGTGCTTAATTGAGGTGGAGGCTGGGAAAATAAATAGCTGTGATTTCTTACTAGCAGTACTGGACATTGTTAGGTTGTTCACTCATACTTCTTAAATGTACTGATTCTTCTATGCTGAAGCTTCTACTAAGGCATTTTTAAAATTCATGTTAATTAAAGTGCACAATTATATTTTTGCCAGCTTATTTTTTGTGTGTGTTTCCTGCAGTGTGGAACAACAGCCTGTTTGCCTGTACTTGGAAAAGCTCATCTCCAAAAACATGGAACTGATGGAAAAGAGATTAATGGAGAATATTGATCTGCGTATACAGAAACTTCAGGAATATATAGATAATAGAACTGCTGAAATAATGGATTTGGTTTTGAAATCCAACAATGATTTACAAGAACATAATTCTCTGAGAGAAAAACTCAAAGGGGAAAGGGTAGACAGTCATTGAAAAGTAGAAAAGCTCAACTTTTGTGTTTCTCAAGAACAAGTATTTATTTTACAGGCTTTTGAAAACTGTATGCTGAAAGGCTTGAAAATATTTAAACCCTCAGAAATTATACTTGTTACTGTAATTTCCCCAGTATTATACACTAACATTAGTGTCTTTATATCTGTAACTTGCAAAAATACCAAACCAATATTTTTTACAGTTCAGGTAATTTTTACATACACATATTTATTCATAAATGTCTTCGAAGGTCTTACTTTTTTGGATGTTTATGCCAGATTTAATTATGGAGAAGTGTTCTAAATAAAGCAATTTGCAGCATTATTAATAGCTGGCTAGTACCTTATGCTTTAATGCAGTGTTAACATAGCAGAAGAATTAAATCCTATCCTCGTGTGTGGGTGGGGAGGGTGGGTGGGGATTCTTATCTAAAGACTCCTGGCATTATCCAATTGTGTATTTGTACTACTGTCAACACTCTCTCACAAGCATGGGTCCTTGCCAATTCGGTTGCAGAAATGGGACTCAGTTCTTCTGCAAGGGGAATTCAGCACTTCCTGAGGGAAGCCCTGAACAAACAAAAACACTGGTTGTTGGAGTGCCTTTATATGAGCTCTGCCAACCTGTGTCCTCTCAGAAATGAGCATTTCACATCATTTCCCATTTATTACTACATTTATATCCTGTCATTACTTCCTATTGCAAAGAACCCAAGTCAGCTTACATGGTCCTCTTCATTTTTGCCATTTTATGTTTTCAACAGCCCTGTGAGGTAGATTAGTCTGAGAATCACCAACTGGCCCAAAGTCAGCCAGTGAGTTTTATGGCTGAGTGGGGACTAGAACCCAGATTTCGAGAATTCCAATCCAACCATTGAGAGTACTCATATACGATGTAATTTTATTTATTTTATTTTATTTATTTATTAAAACATTTTTATGCCGCCCCAACATTTTATGTTGAAAAGAGAGCATTCACAAGAACATGCACACACATATGGAGGTTCAAAATGCTTTTGTAGTACTTTTGAATTGATTAGCTTTAGCAGTATTCTTTGATAAGCCTCTCCAGGATGGAGCATGGGAGCAGGAAACTTTCCATTAATGTCTTTAAATTTATTTACCTTAATTTTCACAGCACAGACTTAGTGTCCCTGTAACCTACAGCAAATACCTCTGTAAGGTTACACACTCCAGTTTATTTATTTGAAATAAGTAATACTTTAAGGAAAGATGTATGAAAATACACTATCCCAGTGAATGTCTACATAAGCCTGTGATCCGAACTGAAGCAGCCAACTGGAGATCCTTGTTAAGAGCTCTGCAGTTTCTGGTATCTGTATCCTGCTTTTTGACTGATGAAATGTTTTGCGACCAGGCCTGCCAGAAGGACAACATTCATGGCCAACACAGCGAATGTAAGAAGGTACAGGTTGTTGGATTGTGTGTTCTGGCTTTCTTCAGGATAAACTTGAACGGAAGAGTCTGAACATAGGAAGCAGAAGATAAATGAAGGGTTCATATGAGGTCACAGCAAATCTTGGCTGTACACCAACACTTAATTTTTAAAAATCTGAATAATCATCAGCAATACTTCCCATTCACTTTCATTGCCTTGTTAGGATTGATTTGGAATATGTGGTGAAAAAGCAACACTGGTTACCTGATCTTGACCTGGTTTGCATGGTCAAAGACTGGTTTGCAGTGTGTGCCAGCAGCTATTGTGAATATGCAAAATGAGTTGCATGAACCTGTGGCAAACGTGAACCTGGGCAGGGTGGCTTGCTGCCATGGGTAACAGGCTGGCCAGAACCTGTGGACCATTCTTAAATTCTGAAATGGCTTCTTAACCATAGCAACATACCATCTTGTACATTCACATGCCATGATAAGGTGCAGCCCACCTACCCAGAGCAGCTTGAATATTCACTATGTTGAGTGTAGGTCCATTACTTTGGCTGAAATAAGTCATGGTGCTGGCATTGACTGTGCACTTTCTTTCAAAATCATGTTAATTGTTATTCACAAAAGTGATCTTTTGCACATTACCTACCTGAGCGACCTGTAGAACTGTGGTCTCTCTTTAGGCGGATAGGTCCAACTATAGCATCTCCTTTCCATTTGTAGGATGAAATCTCTCTCTTTTTCCGAGAGACGCAGCCTTGGGTGCAGCGTGTGCCGGTATTGGTGCTATCACAAATCAAAACCTCACAGCGGAGGTAAACAGATGGGTCATTCTGCAGGAATCTGAAGGAACTGAACCTGAACCTCCCATAATGTTCAAGGACTGGATAGGCCCCGTAAGTATCATCTTTCGCACATCTGTAACAGAACATTCAGGTTGTTTGACAATGATCAGCATTAGCCTGTGCTCTTTCCCAGTAGCAATAGATATTTACCCGAAATTAAGTTACATTGTACAGGTTCAAAAAACAGTATTTTAAATGAAGGACATATATAAAGCAAATTTACTGTGTGATACTGATGCTGGTGCACTTAACTGCTGATGCACATAAATGCTGGGGCCAGAGCTAGTTACTAGCCTAATTTAGCATCATGTTATAAAATATGGGTGGTCAACCTATGTCCCTGAGGATGTTTTGCCCTACAACTCCCTCACAGTTAGCTATGCTGATTAGAACTGATAGCTGTAGTCCAAAAATCTGAAGGGATACATTTTGCCCACTGCTATTATAAAAGAGTCTGCTAGGCCATAATGTCCTTCTACCTTAATTCTTTAATGCTTGTATGCAGAGATAAATTATTTTCAGCAATTCATCTCAATTATTCATAACTGAATATTTCAAGCCCTAAAGCTGTACATTCAGGATAATTCTTTAGTACCTCCACCCATTTGGTGGTGCAGTTGGGGAGATGGGTGCAGCTGCAAGTGGGTTCTAGATTCACCTAACCTTTTCCCTAACCTAGTACCAGTCCTATCTGTACACGTCTCTAACTCATATCAGTTACATGCCTGTGGAGATGCTGCATCCTATCTCCATAACAGCCCCTTTCCCCCAGCCTCTCGTCTGAACGACCTTGCTTTTGCTTTGCCTTCTTCCTACAGTCAAATTGCTATTCCCACCATTCAGTTCTGTGTATTATAGTCCATCTATGATTATATCAATGCGAAAACATATATTGAAAAGTTAAATTACTCACCCATGTCTGACTAACTCGTATTTTGGTGATCCCAGATCGGAGTGTGGTGATGCTGTGCAAGTATCCACAAACACCAACAGATTGGCATCAGTGGAATGTAGGCTGACTTGCACATAGAGAGTCTGGTTTAAATCTACATAGTATGGATAATTCACTATCGGTTTGGAGAAAGAACTGGATTCGTAAAATGACATGCTTAGGTTGTATCTACCAGTAGAACTTGTGTTTTGCACAATGTCTCTTTCTGTTATGTACATGACTTCTGCAGTTGAATTGTTTTCCATTATACATTTCACGACAATTTCAATATCTTTTTTACGGGTGATCACAGCTCCTTTTGAGGATGCAGTGACAGCATTAATGTAAGAGATGGTGTTATTTTCACTCTGTACAAGATAAAATTAAAATGTGATTATCTTCCACTTTGGGGAAAAAGAGTATGTTCTAAAAATCGTAAGTATTTTATGGGCCTTAAGTTTAAGAATCTCATACTTAAATTAACAATAGTGCCAAAGATTTCATATCCTTGCATTATTTAGACATGTATTTTGTTAAATGATTAAAACATGGCCTGGCCTTTTCAGTTTAATTTTTTTTGTGTTGAGCAATTTCTACATTTGAAGACAAAGACGTTCTCTAGAAAAGCAGCATTTGTATCTTATAAAAACAACAAAAAATAAATTTGCTAACAAATTGAAGTGGTTCATTGTAAACAATGAAAACTATCACAATAATAAACAGCCACCACAGTAAATTTCGCCCTTAGTCTCTAAACATCAGAAATCTATGCACATGGACTTGGATCTTAGATCCTGTTAATTTCATAGTTACTGTTGCGAATATTCTTGGGTGTGCACCTTAACAGTTGCCAACATATTTTCAGTACTTATGAAAATGAACAAATAGTGACATTCATGTTTCCCAAGTATCTTCATGGTGTTGTTCATCATATACTTTCTTACTATCTACCTGCATGATTCTGATTTTTTTCCAAGCAGTCATAACTGAGTTATTTGTGGCGGGAAGGGGAGACAGATTGTGAGAGAAAAGTCTGAAGAGAAATGGAAAAGATCTCTGGCTAATTTGTGTAAGAATGCAATTTCCAGAATTTGGTAGGATTTAATCATGGAATCAGACAAGAAAGGCTCAAATCTGAGGACAGTAGGCTGAAGTGGCAGAACACAGATAAGAAGGAAACAAGACTAGGGGGAGACTAGGAGCTTGAAGGAAAGGGTCATAGCACTCTGAATTGGATTGGTTTCAAGTTTGGTTTACTAATTTTTACCTTTTTAATTGTTCCACAACTCTTGAGTGGGAAATGAAATACCAGTGGGTTTAACGCAATAGGTCTGCAGGAAGGGTCGATGAGCGACCAGTCGTTTTCATTATAGCCAAATGAATCCATGAAAGCCTTTCTGATAGTAACTGTCATCATGTCTGAAGAACAACTTAGGGATGCTGACAATAGGGAAAAAAGGTAAGCAGAAAAAGGAATAATGGTGTTTACAATACAAACTGTGTCCCCCACCAGCACCCGTCTCTCGGGCATTGCCTTTTTCATTCCTTTGGGTACTAGCGCTTCCTCCTTTTCAGTGACAAAACATACATTGTTACAGCTTCAATGTAGAATGAAAGCCCATTCCTCCAAAAAAGGACATATAAATACTTTCTGAAGTTTTTAGTTTAAATAAGAATTGTGAGCCGAATATATTTATTTTATTTTTATTTATTTTATTTAGAAAATGTCTATGCCGCCCCATTTGCCGAAGCCTCGGGGCGGCTCACAAAACATCAATTAAAATATAATACACTATGAGTGCGGGGGAGGAGTATGACATCCAAAAAGGATATTGGAAGGCTAGAAAAGGGTATAAAAGGGCAAACACAGTAATCAAGAGGATAGAACAAATCTTTCAGGAGGAATTTGTTTTAAATGGCTAGGCCTCTTCAGCTAAGAAAACACTGGTAAGAGGGAACATGATATGGGTAAAATTATGCATACTGTGAAAGAGTGGAGAAGTTTTTCTTCTCATCACATAATACTCCAATATATAATGCTATGACAATCATGTCCTGCATTTGGGCTTTCCAGGGGTTTTTGGCTTGCTGGATTAATCCAAAATGCCTTTGGCTTAATCCAGGATGGCTCTTCTTATGTTTCTGTTGATAACAATTAGTAGCGGAGTTAAATAAACTGTTCAATAGAACAGAAAGTACAGGAGCCATCTATTAAGTTGCAGGGGACTCTCCTGCAACTTTTGAAAAGTTCTCTCATCTGCAAACGTGCTTATTTTTAATTATGTGCATGTCATTCTTGTGATGCAAAGCCATCAGAGTATTTATTGTTTCTTTCTCTCATGCTTCTTGAGAAATCTTCCTATCTACCTCTTAAAATAAACCACACTTCTTTTTTCTTTCCCTTTTTCCTTCTTTCCTTCCTTTCAAATTTATAGGCCTCTGAATAGTCTAACAGGGTTCTCTAGAACTGTCTTTAGAATGTCTTTCGTGACAGAGTTCTGCTTGTTGACTGACAGTTGCTTTGTTTAGTATGAAAACTTCAGACTTTTTTGGATGAACTATCTTTATGTGATCCAGGGCTGTGACTATTGCATAGTTTCATAATGGTGGCACAATGGAATGCCTGAAGAATGCAAGGCATGGTGTACAAGTTAATATTCCCATAGGAATTGCTACTAACCATCTTACCTACTTTATGCAAGTCATTAATCATAATGCACACTTCATCTTCATTATAGATGGATTATAAGTAGAACTGAAATGAAATTCTGGCACAAACTGGGCATAATCCTTCCCTATATAAGGCAACAGTGTCTATATGCAGGGGCATCCTATAGGGCACAAGACTTGTGAGAAATGGTTCCAAGTTTGTTTCTGTAAATGGTTTTGCAACTGTATCTTGAAATAACTACTTTCTGGAACAGTTTTCAAAGTCATTACAATAGTCGATCCTGTATATTACCAGAGCACAGATAACTGTGGCCAGACTATGGTTGTGTAACTAATAACTAGAGGATTGGGAATCCTGAGCTGTGCATGGGTTATCCATGCACGTGTACATAAGAATTTTGGCTTTGCAGTCTTAAGGAATATGAAAAAGAACACCTGGATGAATTGCCTGCTGTTTTTCAGAGGCTAGGGAAGATGGAGTGAGCAAATTCCTCTATGCCTTATTGTACATCTTGTATCATAGACAGCAAGAAGATCATGCAATTTCTTCTGTGTAATTGATCTTCAGCATTTCAACAGACAGAAAATGGTCAAATATACTAGACAAATAATACTTACTGTTGGGTTCTCCTACTGGTATTGGTATACTTGTGTAGCGAGCGGAAAAGCCCCTGTATGAATTGGCATAATCCGTAGACAACACAACAGTCATAACGTTGGAAGAAGACTGGAACATTGGGGCCGTGCGACCACACACTTTTTTGATTAAGCCGGAGTCTGTCGTTGCACCATCATAGATGGCCAGAAAATCAAATCTACAATCCTGATCTATTTCTAGACTAGAAGCACAGAGGAAAAGTAATTTAATGGCCAATTTGTATATTTTATTTATTTATTTATTTATTCGATTTATATCCTGCCTTTTTCCTACAAAGGGCTCAAGGCAGCTTACATCATTCTCCTCCTCCATCTTATTATGTTTCTTCCTATCTTTTCTCCAATTATAAAACAAGTATAAGTACACATAGTGTATATGCATGATGGTATAGTTATTGGTACCCACGTGCGTTTCTTCTCACAGCAACCCTATGAAATAATTTAAGCTAAGAAAGAGGGGCTGGCACAAGGCCACCCATTATGAGATGCCTGACTGAGTAGAGATTTGGACCCTGATCAAGTCTGAAATGTTCATCACTACATCACACTAGCTCTGTCCAGGCATTCTGCTTATGTTCAGAATCAGGAGGGTGGGCATTTTGCATGTGTTCACTTTGTCCCTTCTTTGCTGTCCCTGTTGTCTGCAGTGAGATCTCTCTACTCATGGAGGCCCCCTGTGCAATTTAGAAGCCCAGACAATCAGGAGTTCTAAATCACTCAGCAAGCCTGCATGGGTAAAAAGGGACTCCACTGTAGACGTTTGCCCTCCAACTCACGCTGTTCCCCCCTTGTGTGTTGATCCTGCAAACAAGTAGAATGCTTGAACAGGGCTACTGGCTCTCAAAGGGCTCCTTCACCCACTGAAAGGGCTTGATCATTATAGAATGATTTGATCAATGCTCTATTTGGTCACTTTTACTTTTGTAATACATTGGATATTTCTCTCTCTGCTATATTGTGATAGGGTAGTAACAGTAATAGCAACACTGGATTGATTATAGACATGAAAGCAATGGAGGGGGAATTTCAACTCTCCCCTCCTTGATGTGATCCTAAAGAAAATCCCTCCTTTGAAGCAGCAGCTTGCACTGGGAGGTGCTTCCCCACTGGTACCTCTCCCCTGCAAATGATTATTTACATTTCTTAATGTCCTGCTTGTAAAATTTTATAGTTTAACTATTTATAAATGTATCGTTGTTTACTGGCCCAAATAGTGCCCCCAAGGTGACTAAGGCACAATCCTATGCCTATTTAGACAGAAGAAAACGCTACAATTCCCAGCATTCCCCAGCCAGCCATGCATAGGATTGCACCCTTGCAGTTAAAACTGCTGTAGTAAACTAAAAGCTGTGTTTCATATCACATTCATTTTTTCCTGCAGTGAAAGGCTGATACCTGACATTGGGGACAAAGGACATGTGCCAGCCCTCATCTTCATGACCTGCTTGGAAGGGAGATCTGACTGGCCAGCATTAGAATTAGAAGCTGTAATTGAATGATCCAGCAAGACATTTAGGAAACCAAAATGGCAGAAAGTGACACTTGCACCCCCGTCCTCCTCATTCTGAAACCCTCTCCAAGGCATGGTGGGCCTCAGTGGCTAAAATTGTACCTTACATGCATTCATCTTTAGGATTTCAGTAATTCATCACACAATCTTGTACATTTTTTAACAGGAAGCCTTATAACAAACTCCTTATAACAAAATTGTATAACAGTTTTGGGAGTATTTTTGCTTGTTAATCTATACAGTCTCACACAGCCGCTAAATGAATCTGTAATCTAAAAAAAGTATGTAGACTCAAATATACTTACAAAATTTCATTAAAAGTTAAATTTATCTTGGAATTTGCTTCTGTTTGTATGTGCCAGACACAGTAGGCAAATTCTGGGTGTGACTGGGGGTAGTTGGGGCTGGTGAATACTCCATCTGGTCCAGTAAGGAAGCCCCCACAGTTCTTAATGTTGGCTTTAAGAGAAAGTTGTCATATTCTGTTTAAAGACTACATCAGTGAGCAGAAATAACAGTAGTAATCCTTGGGTTCCCCCAAATTATCTGCTTACTCTTCGGTCCAGCTCCACCTTCAGCCAGTGCAGGATTCAAGCACTTCTTGGAGGCCATGCCATCTGCCCTGCTCTTTAATCCTAAGGGAGCAAACTGCTGTAGCTAATGTGAAGGGGGAAAGGCTAGACTTCATGGGGACTCATTTAAGTCCTTTTAGCTTGGGATCACCTGTCCTGGATGTCACAAACCCAGAAATCAAACTGATGATGACACTGCAATCAGTGCAGAACAACTTCCTCATACCCGCTGCCTCCCAGCAGCTTCTCCAGAAGGAACTGTATTCTCATGTGTTACTTGTATTTAGGATAAAGTCTCCTTCCTTAACTGCAACCAACACTGGCCTTCATCTTTTTGCTCAGTCCAAAGTGGACTAACAACACCTGGGCAGCCCAACAGTAATTTCAAATGAAGATAAGTTAGGAGGCAGCACAGAGGCTAGTGACTACCTGGTCAGTACACAGGTCACCATAGCATAGTCCTTGCTACTGTACTTCTCTACTAGTGAGATACATTGTTTTTCTGCTTACATCACAGCCATTACCATATTTTTCGCTCTATAAGACGCACTTTTTCCCCCTCAAAAGTAAGGGGAAATGTCTGTGCGTCTTATAGAGCAAATGTGTGTGCGCCTGACGCCCAGGACACTGCCGGCCCGCCTGTACCACGTGGCACCACCTGGCCGGCACGCGCTGCTCCGCCCCCGCCCTCGCCCTCCGGCTCAGGTGAGAGCTGTGCCACTCAGGGGGAGCGGTGTGGAGGAGGAGGAGCCGCGGGCTTTAACCCGCCAGCTGCATGGAGAGATGGACTGCTCACCCCCACCGCCCGGGAAGACCTGCCATGGAGGAGGAGGAGCTGTGGGCTTTAACCCACCGGCCGCACGGAGAGACGGACTGCTCACCCCCACCGCCCGGGAAGACCTGCCACTGCGCCGCCCGGAAGACCACTGCCAGCACGCTGCCAGCCTGGCTGCACCATATGGCACCACCTGGCCGGCACGTGCTCAGCGCGCCCTGCTCCACCCCCGCCCCCTCCGGCTCAGGTGAGAGCTGTTAATCACAGGTCGGTGTGTGTTTTCAAATGGCAACCCGTCTTTTAATGAAGCCCGTGGGGAAGTGATGGGGAATGTGCCTGTGATTATCAGGAAGCTTTCCATGGATCCCTCCTCTAAAAACTAGGTGCGTCTTATGGTCAGGTGTGTCTTATAGAGCGAAAAATACGGTATTTCTCAAGTTCATCTATGCATATAAATTAGCATATGGAATTTTCAAACTGCAAATCCATGTTCTCTTTTATGTTTTTTGAGAGGCACTTAATCTTTTTTGTGATGTGTAACTAGCCACCCTACCTTAATGGTGTGGGATCTACTGTATCATGGCAGGTTCCCAGACTGTTTCAGCAATGTAGGAACTACCAGTTTACATGGCAGAATGATGCTAAGTGTGCCAGTGAATCTTTGTTGCCACATAAGCTAGACATTTTTACTTTATGTGGCAATGGAAGAAGCATCTTACACCACTGAAATAATGTAGGACTAGCTGTAAGCTTCAGCATCCTCCACCATAGCTGCCTTGGGTTCTTTGTAAGATGAAGGAAGGCAGGGCGGAAATGTAATGGAACATGAATGCAAGTACAAATACACCCATGCAAATACATACAGTAATTCAGCAGCCATGGGAAAGTCTCTCCAATCTGGGAGTGGACATGCATGTTGTATGCAGACTTCCTCGACTGGATGCTCAAGCTTGAAACCATCTTAGATAAACTTCTGTAGAGTCTGTGTGAGATGTCCTGGAAGTGTTTTCTGCCAACTGTCACTGCCTCCACAGGGTCAGCAAGCAGAGGACCCAGGAGCAACATATTTGGGGCAATATATGGAACATTTCACTTGTTACCATGAGACAAGCCCCCAGAGTGCTGATGTTTAGATGGCTTCTTAAAACACTTCACACAGGCTTTCCCTGAAGTGTGGTCCAGCCAGCTCTGGTTTGGAGCATATCGCAGAATGTGCACTCTCACTTATTATCTAACTCAGATTATTAATATTAATTTAATGTAACATAGTATTTTATTGTTACATGTTATTGTTCTGGCATTACTGCATTGTATGTTTCCCACTTTAATACGTCTGTGAAAGCAGTATATACATTTGTGTAATAAAAATAAAATGAATACTCTTACTGTATCCCAAATTTGGCACTCCTAATTTATGTTCCAAAGTTATTCCCTGAGGCAGATATTTTAGAAAACATTATAAACAGTTTAGACATTTGAAATGGGGTAAATCAAGAAGGTTGATCTATCCATTTTGTGGAGTCATATGATCTCTCACAGCAATTTGGGGAAAATGTCACTAATTTGAGAACAACTGTAACAACCGCTTAGGTTTTTTACACTTCACAGTGCTGCAAATTATTTAAACATAAATAGGGCGTTTAAAAAAGAAATTTGATTAGCTTTCAAGTATAAGCTTCATTTCTTCCCAGAACAGTGATTTATGAGTGGCTACCTGAAGGAAGTGTGTCTGATGATGACTTACCTAACTGTGGGGTAATGAAGTAATAAAAAGCAAAGATGCTTCTTGTGAAAGCTGTTGAGTCGGTTGATATGCGAAAAGTTATGCTTCCGAAGGATGACTGAAATACTGGAACGGAGTTGTGGTTATTGCAAACTCGCCCCAGGAGACTTGCGTTTGTTGAAGGGCCATCATATACTTCAATATTTTCTCTGTTACATGTAGATGAAGGATTAAATCTAGGAGAAATAATACCTTCCTAGTTATTATATGTACTAGTATGGCAATGGATCTCACTTAGATTTATAAATTTGCACCTTACCGTGCAATCATGTCTATACTTGTCTACTAAAAAGTAAGTCCGACAGAGTTCAACAGTCCCAGATAAATGCATATAGGATTGCAATCTTAAGCAATTAACATTAACATTATCAAAGACACAGATTGAGGTCCTAGGGAACTAGGTCCTTTTTCTCTAGTATCTCATTATCATTGAACAACACATTTTAATGTTCTATTCTATGCCTCTTTTAAATGTCTGTTCAGTTTCAAAAGTGGTTATCCAAATGGCATGGAGAACTGCTGTCTGAGCAATACAAATCCAAACTTGGATACAGAAAGTCATGCACGCAAGCTGGACCTCTGCCATTGGCTAAGAATCCCTGTGTGAATGCAGGGTAGTATTGATGTGTCTCATGAAATAACTGAGGTGAAACATTGTACTTTGCATTAGAGATTAGAGTGAAAGCACAATTTTAGACAAAATTGGCAATGAGGAATTCAAGGAGATCATATACTCTTGACCACGAGACACCTGTTTAGCATGTTAATCTGGTTTGTTTTTTGGACCCCAGCCATATCCTTCAGAATTTCTCATCTGTTCTTTCCTACAATTAAAAATACTGGAATACTGGAACAAAAAACAAACAAACAAAAATACTGGAATGGGGTGGGGTGGGGGGAACCCTAAGAGATTCCAGGGTAGGCTTTAAATAACAAGAATAACTACTCAGATGACCGCCTAGAGTGCTTTCCAAGCAAATGTAAAAAAATAATGGAGGAAAAAAGCTATCTATAGCTACTAGTCCTTATGGCAATATATTAGCTCCCCAGTGAGAAGCAACATGCACCTGAAGACGAGTTGCTGAGGAACAGGAGGGTATTACTGGGCTGTTTGTGGACATGTGTTCCCCAGTGTGCTGTAGATTCACATCTTCTGTGAAATGTTATGGTGTTCACTGAAACATGCTGTGGAATTGGTCTCTCTTGTTGTCGCTTGGAATGAATGAGATGGTGGAATAAAATTTCAGAGGTCTTTCAATATAATGTGAAGCGTGAAAAGATAGGAGAAAGGAGTAGAGTGGTGATGCTGGTGGAAATGGACCTTCCTTTCCATATCTTTCTATGGCAAGTCCTTCCAGCTCCCTAAAAATACTACACAGAGAGTTAGCATATTCTGCTGAACAGAGTGAACTTGGGTGTGGAAAGGAGGGACAAAATCCTCAAAGAATGGGTAGGAGGACCTTCCATGAACAGATCCTATCCTCTTGAAGAAAGCAGATCCTGGAAGTGAAAAAGCAATTCATCTGTTGTGTGTCTAATTTCTTGTTCAATAGAGCAGGCAATAAAGGGGTCACACACTCATTTTACAGACATATTTCAGCAGTGTTTAAAGTTTCATTTCTACAAATCTTCTTAGAAGAGTTTTACCTTGCTGACTCACACATTAGAATTAAGGCTGAAAACAAAGGCTAGCTGTTTAATTTTTCCACTGAGATTGACATCCATCTCTGCCTATCTCAACCTTGACAAGATTATTTTCAAAGTCAAGCTCCATCTGCTCTATTTCTGCCAGAGTTTACTCTTTTTTAGCCATTACTGAAGAGTATACATTGTTCAGAATTTCTGTATTAATATATGCAATATTTGTGTGCCTGCTGAAATGCTTGCATTTTAGACCTATACAGCCATTGTCAAAAGTGCCTTTGTGTCCATTTTAGAAATGCGTGCATTTTTCACTGCACATTTTTTCAAATGTGTGGATGTGTTTAATGCATTTTTTTTTCTTTTGTGAGAAGTTTGGCAAGCGGGAAAATGTATGGATTTCCTGCTGCAAATTGCCATTGGGCCCAGGAGGCTTGGATCTGTAGAAAACAAGCAAACACAACATCCACAATGGAACAAATTTAACAGGTATCCCTAGATAATGTTTCCATCACAAAAAGATGGACAATGATTAGATCTATGATGATTTTTTTAGGTCAACACCATTTGTGTATAAATCTTTCAATGTATGATTGAAAATCCCTATTTCTACTTCAATAAAATCTAGCAATATTTAACTAAAATAACTTTCTTTGTCATCTTCCTGTCTTTTCCTTTTGTTTGTTGGATCACCTAAACCAGTCTTTTCCAAGCATACCTGTGCAAATCTACCTCCATGTCAACAGAAACTTCTTACACATAGTTATTGCAACTTAATAATCTCCAAATACCTTTAGTACTATATTGTCCAAAACCCATTTAAAGAATACTCACTGGAAATAAGAAAAGATTAGCCGGATCGTTTGGTTTCCTTTATTCTCAGTTGCATTCAGCTCTCTCTGTACTTGCCAGATGCAATTTGCATTTGCATCAAGAGTAATTGGCAGAGCTTTATAGTCAGTCTTCAGTTTTGTTCCACATTTTATATCACCTGCTTTTTTGAAAATTACCAAATTTATTACACTCATGGGGATTTTATGGATCCATCTTGACCCAAAACAACTAGAAGCCAATCACCAATAACAGCATTCACAGAAGTGTTGAAAATCTGTTTAACTCTTTGATTTGCAGATATTACTATACTATATTTTGGAAGAGAGAACAAAACAGGAGTACTTGCAGCCTTGTGGCTTTTGCCTCTAAACAAATGGTTATGGGCTACTGCAGTCAAGTATATCCTTGGCTGAAGAATGGTACACTCCTTCTATCTGGGATGCTACTGAGCACCAAAAGCACAGCTTTGGAAGAGATGCACATGGAACGGTGTGAGAGAAAGGAGACACCTGCCTAGCCAGCCAGATCAGCCGAATCAACTCTGGCAATCAATGGGACCACAGATATCACAGCCAGGTCACCCTCACATCCCAGTCAAGTATAATTTAAGCTGCTTTTCCTGCCCCTGGGGTAACTTCTTCACTCTCCAAATTGACAAATAATTTTAGATTTTTATGGGTTTTGTGAAACATGGGACCATATATGACTAGCCCTGAAAATTTAAAATGATGGTTCTGTCTCAATGGTATTTTTAACTACAAATAAATAAATCCATAAATCATAGCACTTAAATTTGCCATAGGAGTATACATATCAATTGGTTGCAACAAAAACAAATATTCTTATGCTGCTTTAAAGATTAATAAATGTATTAGGACATAAACCTGCTAGCCAAAGTAAAGTATTAACATATTCACGATAAAAGCAGGGAAAATTAATCACACACTTTAATCAATCCCAGTGAAATCAGCTGGAATCAAATGCCTAAGATGCAAGTCCAATCTTTATATTTTAATATTTTAAGCAGATATTGTGATTTAAAAGCAATTGCATATTAATTATTAGTAGTTTTAAATTGTTAATAAAGTGCATTCTTGTCTTCATACCTTGGAATTCTACCAGGCCATTTTCAGAGAGAGTCAAACCAAAGAAAAGTGCCAGGAAAAGACATTCTCTGAATGCCCTCATTTTGATGCAACTGGATTGATACACTTTCAGGTCCTTTTATAATGCAACACATTCAGTAATCATCCCAGTCCACCTAATTCTATGATAGTTTGCGTAATCTTTGGAAATGTTTGCAGTGCTTCAAACTCAGAGGTAGATACACATGGGAAACCCACAGGTGTAATTGAATGTTCCACGTATTTGTTCAGTGAGTGGGTCTAGCAGTTCGTAGCTTCCGCTCCAAATCCATTATTAATCCTTGTCCTAACAAACCAAAGTGTACAGAACTTGAGTAGAATATAGTGGGGTACTTACATCCCTACTGATTCCCTCCTACAGCTTATGGGTTCTGCCAGTTCCATTGCACAAGCATTACCTACCACTTGTACAATCTATACAAGTGTGCAGATTTAGCACTTCCCAGGGAAAACTTCAAAATGAGCATAAAGGCTAATTTCCAGAATTGGGCAGGCTGATGAAAAGCCCTTATACAAGCTCCAACAACCTGCCTCCTTCCAGAAATGGGTGTATGCATTTGTTTCGGATTGCCCTAGCAGAGTTAAATGGCCATGTGCAAGCAGGGTGTTCTGCTTGCACAGTGCACTTGCTGAGATGGAAGAGGCATATGTGTTCCACTGGAATCGGCTCTGGAATTTCATGGCTGCATGAAATTCTGATAAGAGCATACGATAAGCCATGCTGGATAACATGTTCCATCTAATCCAGCATTTCATTCACACATTAGCAAACCACTGCCCACATAATCCCACAAGCAGGATTCAAGTGTAAAAGCATCCTCCTGCCCGAATTGCCCAGCATCAGGTGTTCATAGGCACAATGGCTCTGATGTTTGAGGATTGGACCACCATCTCCCATATGAAGCTACCTATCTGCTCAGGTAAGCATCTTTCTGGCTTTTCTGTCATGGCACCCCAACTATGGAATTCTCCAGCCAGATACATTCACCTGGCACTAAGCTTGCACTCTTTTCACTATCTGATTGCAATTATCGTGGTGTTTTCTCGAGAATTCTAAAGCAAGTAATATTGTCTTTCATTGTTACATGCATTCCTGTTTACTGCTTTTACTGTCACTAGTCTGCATATTTTAGATCGCAGGTTGCATTGCCTGAACATGAATTAATTGCAATGAACAGAGATAACCTTGTGAATATGGGGGGGGGCACTATGTGTATACTGAGTGTCATGTGTCCCCAAAGCATTAAAGGGATGAGATAATTGATGCTTATTCTGCACTTCCCATTAGTTGTAAAGAAAAAAGTCCCCCAGCAGTACTACCACCACTTGCAATGTAGCAAGAATGTGACATAAGAGCCAACCCACAGGGTCACAATAGATCAAGTGCAGCTGCCGGGTGCCTTCTGCATGACGGAACTCCAGGCAAGAGGACATGGAAGCTCATGGGAGGGTGCCATGCTGCCTTGGGAAGGTCCTCGCCTGACAGAGGGCTGGAAAATATTTATTAAGCTACTTTCCCATTTTATGAGACTAACCATCACAGCACTTCTGGCACTGCCAAATGTGGCATTCTTTATGTACATAGACTGTCAACGTGGCAAGATGTTCACATGCATTGCAGTGCCATCCACTGCCCTTGCAGGAATAATAATCTTAGTGTAAAATATGAAGTTCTAGTTTTAGTTCTGAAATATGAAGTAGCAAGAAGGTGAAGGGGATATTTAGTTTTCAAAACGTAGCAAAAACATATGTAAAATCAGAGATAACAAATATCCTGAAAAAAGGAAAAAGAAAGGATCAAGAGGAGCAAATTAAGATAGAATTAAAGAAGCAAGAAGAATGTTGAGATGGGAAAGAGTCTGTTATGTCAGCAAAGCTATTTTGCATGGAAAATGGTATTTTCCATGGCACCAACAAATATGACCACCGTAACAACAGGTGTGATATTACACAAGCTCTGAACTGCACTGCAATAGATAACATACAGTGTTTGTGTGCACACATGCTTATGTGGATATCCATAAGGAAATGCTCAAGGTGATCTGATGTGAAAAAGAACTTTCTGATTAGAAGCATGCAGCTGTATAAATAAAAGAAGTGCCCCAGGAAAAGCTGGCATTCAGCCACATATGATTGAACTGCATCGCATGTGAACAACTTTGGCCTCTACCCGTCTCAGGGGTCACTTTGCCATTTTGTTTCCTGTTTCCTGGCTTTATTTCTTACACACTTAGTGCTGGAAGTTCCCATACTGGGCCAGCAGTGAGTATTCCATGAATAGATTTTGTTCACATACTGGTCTGTCTGGTTCCCATATTTAGAATGAGGGAAAACACAATCTGTCAGTTCAGATTCTGGCTTCATTTTTGTGGATGATCAGTCTGGAACTGTTTTCTCTCCAGCAATTTTCAGAATTGCCCCGGCTTTCTGCTTGTTGAAGACTGAACAGAATTTTACAAGCTGATCACTACTGGAGTGATTTGTGCATTGGATGAAAGTTGCTTTTGTTGAACGTCTGTGATCAGCTGATTTCTGTCCCTCCTTAAATGGCATCACATTCACCCTTATATGAGTGTGCTTGGCCTATAAGAGCTTCTGAGGAGGCCCTTCTCTTGGTCCCATCACCCTCACAGGTACTTTGCAGGGGGGACTGTGGGAGGGGGTCTTCTCAGTGGCAGCCCCAAAACTCTAGAACTCCCTTCCCAGGATGGCAGCTTCACTGCAAGGTTGCTAACAGCAGACAAAAAACCTTTTGTTCCAGCAGGCATTTGGGAATGGTATCAGCCAGTGAGTTTGCACTGGATTAATTTTAGCTTTTATACTAATCGTATTTTTTAATTTGGGTATTTGTTCACTTTTAATATTTAAATTAATTGTATTTTAACTTTTGTATATTTTTCAGAAGATTTAACTGTATGAGTTTTAAATTGCGAGCTTGCCTTGAGTCCCAATCACTGGGAGTAGGTGGAATAAATATCATTATTACTAGTATTGACTTTATAAAGTCAACACTATGTGAACTTTTTCTTCACATAGTGGAAGTATCTTCTTAGTGCACTACCATGTGAGAAGAACTGACATTTGCCACATCAGTACATCCCCAAGATACAACAGATATTAAGTATCTGCTGCTTTTCAGAAGGGCAAGTTAACCATGCCTTTGATAGCCAATACGGTTAGAATGTTGGCCTGAGGCTTGGTAGATTAAGGTTCTAGTCCTTACTCAGCCATGAAGCTCACTGGGTAACTTTGGGCCCGTCACTCACTCTTAGCCTATCCTACCTTATAAGGTTGTTGTAAGGATAAAATGGAGAACAGGAGGATAATGTGAGCCATCTTGGGTTCTTTGTAGGAAAAATGGGGGACAGGAAGGAAGGAAGGAAGGAAGGAAGGAAGGAAGGAAGGAAGGGCAGGTAAAAACCTCATTAATGTGACAACAAATGGAAAAAAATCTGTCCCAATGTAATTAGACACACAGAAACATGCATACTTTCCCCAGCTAGCTTTATTCATTTCTTAATTGCGAGAATGCTGATGACTCAAGCAAAGGTTTTACAGACTGTTCATACCCAAACAAAATATTCCAGAATATAGGAATGACAAAAGCATGCATTCTAGCGCCTGTTATTGGCAATGATTCTGTGGACCCCAAATGAAGAAGTGCCTATCTGATTGAATAATTTATCAAATGCCTCATCAAATGAATTTCTCTAAACTGATTTACTATGCAAGTTTCCTCACGCTACTTGGCTGGCATCACTTAGCAGTCATTACATTACGGACTCATGTCTTCAGCTTACTGGAGCTGAAAAGACCCAAGGACTTGCACATGTTCTTGTCCAGAGGATGCTTCCCTCTTGCTCCGAGGTAGACAGCCTTTATAGCATCGAGCCGCAGGGTCGGCTGCATTGCACACCACTATTTTGCACTGTACATAAACATTGGAATATTTGCTAAGAGACTGGAAGGGTTTAAATGTGATGTGGATGCTCCTTCTCTTCCTGGAAAAATAACCGATGTAGGTAGCATCTTTTACACATCTGAAAGAAAAAGAAGACATGCCATCATGCATTTATTTATTTTATTTATTAAAACATTTCTATGCCGCCCCATTCGCCGAAGCCTCGGGGCGGCTCACAACATAAAATATAATACAAAAATAACAATATAAAACTAACAATATAAAATAAATAACAGTATAATAGAAGTCACCCTGGCATCAGACAAGAACTTCGGTAAACTTTGTCACAAACTATAAACATTGAAAGCAGTGCTTTTGACCCATCCGCCAATGGGTTAATTTTGTCTGACAACCCAGTCACATGGTCCATGTGATCAGGGTGGCTGCAGAAGGACCCTGTGGCCTCTTGCAGCTGCCAAACATGCTTCGTGCGTGCCAGCAGATCTCCACACCACTGCCGCTTGCTGCATCCTTTCGACTCAGGTGCCCTGGCTTGACTGGGGTGAGCAGCACTCACACGTAACCCAACAACCCATGTGTCATTTGAGAGTTGCCGTTGATCCCCAAGAAGCCATGTTGGATAGCTTGATTGGACACAGCAAGCCATGCCAGTGTGGGTAATTAGGGAAATCCAGCTGCCACACACCCAGCATATCCAGCAGCTGCAACAAGCCACAGTGCAAGCCAGGCCAAGAAAACTGGAAGAAACACTAAGAGAAGAAAGCATTTTTGATCATGGCTTTTGAAAAAAAATGCCTTTGAAAAGATATTACAGCAGATGTGGGATTTAATAGCATACACCCCCTTTCCCTTTCCCTGCCCCTGCTCTTGCCCCTTTCTTTCTTTTTGCAGTGCTCCAGGAATGTAAAAAAATGAGATAGAATAAAAAGAGGAAGAAAATTCTGTATGGTAGGAAAAAAACCTCTGAAGAAAAGCAAAGTAAGAGCATTTTGGATTGATTATTCTTCAAGGGCACACTTCAAGTTGCAGATTATAATTTTGTGTACTAATCACAGCAGTTGTTCATTAAGTGTGACACCACAATACATGGCTGGTGGGCTCTTTAACTGGTGCTTTCTCATCACCCATAACCATAATAGAGATGCAAAATGTATCTATTATTTGGATTGTATCATTTTAGAAAATGAATGTTTAAAAACAGTAAGTACTCATTATTTTAGGCATCCATTTCCACTCTCTAAATTCATTATACTGGGAATGCAACTAATTCAGACTTTGAGCACTAGGTGCCTTTCAGTTCATTTGGATAAAATGAATTGGCATGTTTTACGTATGCGTGGGGGAAAATGCCTAGGTGCAATAAGATTCTTGAAACAGAGGGGTACAAGAAATCAGGAAGGTACAAAAATACATGAAGTAAAAATAATTGCTCTTGAGTCCAAGAAGAACATGTAGAACTACAGAGACTTTCTTCTGCTCACCCTTTAACCAGCTTCCAGATGCTGAAGTTAACAATGCACGGGATGGTCAGAAGGACCTGAGCCTCTGTGCCATGAACAGGGAAATATGGAGATAAAGCTAGTATCTAGCAGAAAGACTAAGGAGCTAAGCCAAAACAAAAGGAATCCAGAGGAAGTTGTAACAGTCAGACCTGGCCAAGTAGAAAAATGGAATATGCACTGCAGAGGTGTATGGTATGAAGGGATACACAAAAAAATGTTTGGAGGCCTGGCAAGACAGATCCAAAAGAACAGTAGGAGAGCACAATTAAACTAAAGCTACTCCCTGCCTATATACCTAAGACAAACGTGGGATAATGATTGTCATTGTATAAATTACAAGCAAACACTAATTTGTTAGTGTTTTTAAGCTCCTTACCCCTTATGTATGATGGCATAGCTCTCAGTTCTGGAGTTATAACTGTTAGGAGAAACAATACATGTGTCTGTGAATAACATCAGTTCCGGGTTTAAACTATAGAGATTGGCTTGGAGAAGTAACTTGTTGTCCATATTCACATTCACAAAGTAGGGCAAATTATTCACTGGGCGCAACAAGGAAGGCGAGTCATAAAATACAAATTTCATATGGACATGTTTATCTTGCGGTGGGCCTCCATTTGTGAGCTCATCAGACTCATCCACATTGTACATCACTTCCTTCCTTGTCCTGCACTCCATTTTGCAAGTGAAATGAAACTGAGGCTTTACGCCAATCCCAGAGCTCTTGACAGTATTGAAGAAACTGATGGTGTCTGCAGCATTCTGTTAAAGCATTAGACAAAGGTATTAGAAATATGGTAAGTTATCAGAAGCATTATCAGACCGAAGTATGATAAATTCAAAATCGCCAAGAAAAGCATTCAGTGTTCCTGATCACTAAATAGACTAGTGGGAAGAGAGCTGATGGACTGGAAGACATCTTGCTATGGATGGATTTATAGCAGTGTAGGGATAGAAATCTCCATGGCTGTTGCCTCAGATGGAAGGGACAGGGCATGACAGTTTCCCCATCTGCCCCTCATGACCCTGCATCACCCTCAGCTGACCGTGGGCTGGGGAAAAGAAAGTCATCTTAGTTTTTGCCTGAGGCAGGAAAAATGTATTTGCTGGCCCTGAACCCACCTGTAGTGTTCCACAAATGGTGGGTCATGGGAGGCCAAGGGATCGTGAACTGTCTTTTCCTGCTAACATAATCCCAAAGAAGACCCAAAGTTACACCAGCTTTGGGGCTGCCAAAGTTAATTACACCCCTTTACTTTTAATGGAGGGGGGAAATACAAGCAAAACAAAAAACATCTGTCCACAAAGAAACAAGAAACAACTCGCCACCCAAGCTGCTGTGGGCTCCAAAGCACCAGATGCAATTGGGGCGCCACCTAGCACTCAAGTACTTAGGGCTGCTCTGTGACTTGTATTAGCTGCAACAGTCTGATTTCTCCTTTACTGTTTTCTGTGTCGGGAGTTCTGAATCCCTCTGAAATCTTGGTGTAATTGCCTGGCATGGCAGATGCTCTGAAAACGCAGACTGTAGTCTGGAGATTACAACGCAGATGATGAGATAGCTGTGCCATTATTGTTTGTGGTCTATGAATACAAGATGGAAGCAGTAGGTGCACAGCCCTCTTTTAAAATCCTGCCAATCTCTATGGAGCAGAAGAGGGAGCTGAATCCAGTACTCTGCTTCTCCTTCTGATGGATAGGTTTTCAGGTTTTGCAACTGGTATGTGTGCATATCCACCTTGTAAGCCGCCTTGAGACTCCACTAGTAGGCAGCATATAAATGGAAGTATAAATAAACAAGTCAGTATCTCCAACTGCTGATCTGAAAGGGGGCACTGTATTCTCAGCACCTGCTTGTAGGCAGGGCTCCCCATTGTACTGTAAATACCTGCATAGGGGTATGCTAAGGCAATGCTTTCCTGCATCTAGCTGGAAGCAGAATTAAAACTGTACAGCACTTGATATTATACTGTACTGTCCAAGAATTCCCATCTCCTTGGCCAAGATCCTTCTGAATTATTTCCTCAGAATCAGGTTTAATTTAGTAGACAACTTCAATTCAGTAAACAACTTTTTAATTCAGCAGAAAACTTCCTTGCAACTTTAAATAGACTGTGACAATATATCACTTGGAAAATGCTGTCTGTATTCACCCAGAAAATTATGTCCAGTAATAATGAGGTTGACTAACACTATATTATTCATACTAACTTGATTCTATGAATATTCTACCCATGTCAGCTGGTTCAGATGATCATACCTAGACAATATGCCAGGTTATGAACGAACCTCAAGGGCACCCATGCAGCCCCTTGGCTCCCTTCTGCGGTAGGAACAAACAAACCAGGAAGTCTTCCATTGCTCATCATTTCTCAGTTTGGATCAAACATAAAATTGTAAGTACTGGAGGAGGTTTGTGCACTTGCTTTTGGGAAGATTTGTTTGTGCTGGAGGGAATGACTGTTCATGCAGTTTTGAAAGCAATCCTGGAAATTAACAGAAATGATGATAGCCAGTGCAGCTGGCTGGTGGTTCCTGGTTGCTTTTAGAGCCATTACATCTCTATTGCACAAACCGTTGCTGCTACTAGAGCACAGGCCAAAAGGATGTTGCCCTTACAGCTATCGAAGCAAATGTATATAACTGTGACTAATGATCAGGCATATTCTTTCTTACCTGCTGTCTTGTTCCACAGCCATCATATGGTATATGAAATATATAATGACTGCTTGTAACTACTGGTTTACAGGCAGGATCAGTCATGTACAGTCTACATTCGGAGCAGCCCTTTGAAGTGAGATATTCTTTTGCAATAACTGTCTTCATGTGGTCCTTCAAACACGAAAGTGTAACTAGATAGAAAGGCAAAGCAGGATCAGGATACATAGGCAAATAATATAACATTGTGATTTGCATATATACTCATCTGCTAAAAGAAACATTCTCATAGTACTACAAATTCCTATTATGCATTCATTTCATTTTCTCTTACTTCATTTCTGTACTGCCCAATAGCAAGCTCTCTACAAAGATTTAAATCTTTAAAAACATTATTAAAATCACATGCATAACAAGTAATAAACTTACAGTATGCAGGCATGCATGCACACACAAACACGCATATTTAAAAAACAAATACTAACATAGCAGAATAAATAAAAATTGAAGACCTGATTAAAACCTTATCATATGCTATTAGGTGATAAAGAAATGAATGAATGAATGCCTGAAAGGAGGAGGAGCTCTTAATCTGACACCAAAAAGATAATAATGTTGACACCAGGTTGGCCTCATTAAAGAGCTTATTCCAACCTTCTGAGCCTTCCTTGGTACAGGCAGCTGGAGGAGGACCTTAGATGATGAATGTCACAGTCATGCCAATCCTTAGATTAGTTTGTGCTTAGATTGTTTTTCAGTTGAAATTATTTACAGGATTGTATTGATATTGTTCGGCCTTAGTACTCATAGTAGCACAATTCCTCTGCAGTTAATGCAGAGGTATGTCCCACTGTGTTCAGTAGGGTTTACTTCCAGGAACATGTGCATAGTATGAGTAAAGGAACGAGGTGGTGGATGACTATGAGACATGATTGTTCAAATATCCAAATGGTTCAGCTTCATGTCAGTGTACTCCTAGGTTAGGGGAGAAAAATCTGTGACTTTCCAAAAATTGCTGAACTGTAACTCCCAGTATTCTCAGCTACCAGAGCCAGTGATATGGGATAATGGAATCTGTAGTTCAACAACTTGCATTGAATTTGGAGAGGCAACCGTGTGCTGAGCACCTCTTTGGAAGCATGGGTTATCATCCAGTTAGGGCAATCTTTCCCAACTTAATACTTTCAAGAAGTTTTGGACTACAACTCCCATCATCATGGACTACTGAATCATGCTGAATAAGGCTGATAGTAGTCCTAACATCTGGGAGTCACCAAGCCGGGGAAGGCTGGGCTAGGTTTCTCCAAGTAGTGCTACCTGCAGCACAGTTCTCCTTTCACAAACCAGGGAGAGGAAGCACTTCCTGCCTGGACTCCTCTTCATTTTTCGTTTATCTGTTTAGTTGCCGGAAGAACTGCAGGCAATGGCACCGGCAACAAGGAAGTGGCGGCAACTCACGTAGGCCTGAGCTCCTAATGCTCTCCTGAACTACGCGCTAAAGACACGCAGGCTGCATTTCAGTTGCTCCTGAGAGTTGATTGATTTTGTTGCAGGTGAGCCACGGACATTGTTAAGATACGGGAAATGAACCCAGTGCCAGGAAACTGACCCCTGCTGAACCTCCATGGCCAGACTCGGGTGTGCAGCTTCTCTACAGTCAGAGGAAGCAACAGCTGCTAAGCAGGTAGGAGTCCTGTGCTGCTGGGCGGCTCCTTCCTACTTTCCTAGAGGATGTGTTCTTACCAGGGCTAAATCTCAACTGGTAGAATCATGGTACTTTTTCCATACTTCACCATGGCCTCAAGCAGCAGTGACTGGAAAGGAGGTGAAATACTCCCTCCTTCTCTACTGGCTGTTGTGGCTTGCCCTTGGTAAAATTATGGATGGATTCCAGGAGCATTCATAGCAGCAGCTTGTTGAGTGGATAGCATTTTGTGATTGAAGACAGAAATACAATGGTCCAAACGTTCTGATGAGATGCCAAAGACCCTTTTGATGTTTCAAGTAAAATGCTTTAAAATGCATTCATTAATCAAAAGCAACAAGCATTTACCGGGATCTGTGTTTGTATCAATTGCAGGAGCTATAAAAGAAAGATAATAGAAGTCAGCAATGATTATTAGTACATTTATATCCCACAGCTCATACAGTCTTCCTTCAGAACAGGAAGGGACTGGGAAATTCAGAACCTCATGAAATTGGAACATGAGTGAACTTGTTATCGCCAAGGGAGAGGAACAGACCAGACACACAGTTTCTGTTTTGTGGCAGCCACATGTGTGCCATTATACCAGTTTGCTCCGAATTCTTATCTATGACCCAATCTAGATTTATTTAAAATTTACTGATTTACATAATGAGCTACAAAATAGACATATAATTTAAACAGTAATAACATGCATATATAAATTATTTGTATAGAACAAAAATAATTACCAGCTGTAGTGACCATCCTGGGGCCAACTGGAGGAAGAAATTACATTGCATTATATGGTTAGATGGAATTACTTCTAATGTGGCACAAATCTTGAAATACCATTATGGTATTTATTTTGAGTTTTACACCACATACACTTATTGAAAACCCAGTAGCAAACATGAACATGAGAATCTACTTTAAAAATGTAGTCCTGTGCATATGTAGACAGAAAAGACCTACAATTTTTACCTGGCTGGGGCATGAGAGCTGCAGACAGTTTTTCTGCCTGAAGATGTAGAGTTGTGCCTTAAATGTCTACACACTCAGAACTAGGATATTTTTAAGGAGAAGAGATGCCCCCTACTAGCTAGAGAAGTTGTTTCTATAAGCTTGGGTGGAGTTCATAATATTTGGTTTGGAAATCCAAAATTTAGTCACTTATACCACTCACCTCAAATACAAAAGGAACATCTTATCCCTGAGAGTACTTCTCTGGCTTGGATCTGAATCCAAACTAGGGAGAATGTCAACTTTATCTTCCTCAACTTCCTTTCTTCTACTCATTTCTGAAGCCAAAGCACAGATCATTTGACAGTTTCAAGAAACTGTAAATATATCATTTATAGATAAATGTTATTTTGTAAGGACTCCAGTGGGGGTCTCTTTCAATGGCTTTCATGAATCAGATCTTGAATGTCAAAATGTGGATCTGCTTCAGAGTGTAAGCTGCCTTAAAATGAGTCAGACCACTGATCTATCCAGTTCAGCATTTTTGCCTATACCAATTGCCAGTGGATCCCAAGGGTTTCAGATGAAAGTCTTTCTCAGACCTGTCTAGAGATAGCTGGGATTCTCTGCCCACAAAACCCCACAACCTGACAACAGGCTATATTTTTGGTGATATGCTAGCTACTCCGCTAAGAAGCTGCACCTAGTATGGAAAATCATTAGGTGACACATGCAACATGGATAAAAAACCACTGTAAGCAATAGAGAAGTGATTTGTACAGTCACTGAGGCCAAATGAGAAGTGATTTGGACAAGGTCAGGTATGGCAGAGCATTCTCCCCTTTAAATGCATGTTTGAAACAATTGGAAGTCAGAAACTCTTACATATCTACTGGAAGTCATTCAGAGATCTACCAAAAGATCCTAATCTACATTATCAGAGGCAATCCAAGAGTACCTGAGCAGATAACACCAGCATCTTCTCTGTGGATGCAGTTGTGTATCCCCCATCCTCTATGGGCGCACTGGCTCAAGTAACCTTCGTTCCCAGTGCAGGATACATCATCCAGGAAAATACCACCTGAGCCCGGACCAAATTGAGCATTTCCTGGTGCTGAAAGAGCATCTCCACAGCCGAGCTGCCGGCACACAACACGTGCATGATTCATGCCCCACAGATCATCACAGACTGTGCCCCATCTTCCATTGTGAAATACTTCAAGCCGTCCTTCACATCTGTTTCTTCCACCAACAAGTTTCACAGAGCCTTCTGAGACAGCTAAAAGAGAAGCAACCGTTGCTACTGGTGCATGTGCATTTCAGTTTAGGTGCCATTCCATCCTTCCCTGGTGTAATGCCCTCCAGTTGTTCAGAACTACAGTTCCCTGAATTCTGACCATTATCCATGCTGGCTAGGACTGATGAGAAGTTCAGTGCAAAGGTTGGGGAAGGCTGGGCTTATTCGGCTTATTCTTATCACCTATTCTACAACATTACCCACTGAAAACTAGAATTTAGGATTATGTCATGGAGTAATCATGCCATCTCTTACCTGTTGAAGGAATATTCTGGGGTTTTTCTTGAAAAGAAAGAAGGAAGGGGAAAAAGTAAGTGGTATATATAAAAAAGTAAAAAGTATGTATCAGCTAGATTGATACTTAATTTCACCAAAATCAAAATTGATAATGGAACACTTGATTTAATATGTAGTAGAAGACACTCATCAAGAAAAGTGGTTTATATGCATCTCAAGAATAATTCTTCTATTAATAAGTCAGAAGAAAGAATGAGATGATATTGCAATAAATTAAATTTCTGTTCCAGTTAGGTTGCAAGCCACCTACCTGGGAGACACTTAGCTTGGAGTAAATCTTACTAAACTCAATGGGTCTTAATTCCAAATAGATGTGCATAGAATAGTACCGCTCAAAGTGTTATTTTTATGATTAACTTTCTAACCTGTAGGGCATCTGTTTCAAGGAGGATTGTTGTAAACAACCCCACAGTGGTTAACAGTGATATGCACTTTATTTCCATTTATGGTACAATCAAAAGTGTGATTGCACATATTATCCAACCAAGGAATAAGTCATGCCAACTAACCTAATTTTGACTGGATCACCACCCAAATGGACAGAGGAAATGTCGTGGACATAATTTACCTAGTTGTAAAGCCTTCAACACAGTGCCCTACAACATCCTAATAAATAAATTAGCAAAATGTGGGCTTGACAGAACTACTATTAGGTGGATCCACAACTGGCTTCAAAGTAGGTCAGAGAGAGTGATCAACAATGTTAGCTTCTCATCCTGGAGAGAAGTTATGAGTGGGCTACCCCAGATTTCAGTCTTGGGAACTGTACTCTTCAACATCTTTATTAATGATCTTGTTGAAGAGATCTGGGAACATTGATTAAATTTGCAGACTATACTAAACTGGGTGGAATAGCTAACATGCTGGAAGACAAAAAGATGATCTAAGGATCTTATTTTGTTATGTTATCTAAGTTCCAAGAACTTATCTTGGAACCTAGATAAGCTTGAACACTGGGCAGAAAACAAAGGAATTAAATTCAGGGACAAATGCCAAGTCATCTACCTAGGGAAAAATGATCAGCTGCATTGATACAAGATGGGGAACACTTGGCTCACCAGACTATAAGTCAAAGGGACCTTGGAGTTCATTTAGGCATAATCCTAGCTAACTGAGCATAGGATTGCAAGCTTAGATCAAGATAATAATGGATCTACCATTCAGCAATCCAAGAGTACCTGCGCAGATAACACCAGCATCTTCTCTGTGGATGCAGTTGTGTATCCCCCATCCTCTATGGGCGCACTGGCTCAAGTAACCTTCGTTCCCAGTGCAGGATACATCATCCAGAAAAATATCACCTGAGCCCGGACCAAATTGAGCATTTCCTGGTGCTAAAAGAGCATCTCCACAGCCGAGCTGCCGGCACACAACACGTGCATGATTCATGCCCCACAGATCATCACAGACTGTGCCCCATCTTCCATTGTGAAATACTTCAAGCCGTCCTTCACATCTGTTTCTTCCATCAACGAGTTTTACTGCGCCTTCAGAGAGGTAAAGGAGAGAGCAACCGTTGCTACTGGTGGATCGCATTCTATGCAAGTTATATATCATGTGCATTTCAGTTTAGCTGCTATTCCATCCTTCCCTGGAGTGCTTCCTTCCAGGTGTTCAGAAGTACAATTCCTTGAATTTCTGACCATTAGCTATGTGAAATATGTCCTAGTTATTATTACAGAGAAAAACTTCAAGCTGTCCCTCACACCTGTTTCTTCCTTTGGCAAGTTGTATAGCCCCATCTTAGAAAGCTGGGAAAGAAACACCGGTTGGCAGTGGCTAATCAAGTTCTATACAAATTGCACATCATTTGCATTTAGATCCATGGACTACTTCCGGTCCAAGCCCTCTATGATAAGTGTATTATATGTTGGGTTGTATCTAGGATCTGCTTCCCATTGGTGGAAAAGTCCAGCTCATGGAAGGTGTGCCCACCTGATTTTCAGGGATCTCTCCTCCGCCTGCAGCACACCTTAATTCATTCAACAGGGTTTCCCAATCTTCTGTGCAGTATTTTCAGGGAGTTGGTTGTGGGTGCTATGAGGAGGAGTGGGGAAATCTATTTCTGCCAGACTAGTGCACACCTAAGCATGGATCCAACCCAATGTTTGCAAAGCTGGAAATATTATTTAGTATTGCTTTATGAAGATGAAATGTCCCTTACCAGTTGAAGAGGTAGGTTTTTTTAAAGTAAACATTGCAGTAGAGAAAAAGAGAAACGGGGACCATGTTGTGGAGAATACAGTTGCATTGCAATCAAAATCAAATTCTGTATTGAGTGGCTGTACTTTAATATGTTGCAGAAATGTATAGCCAAAATAACTGATCCTGAAAGCAGGGTTCCTCATATGGAATTTTTTTTGTGTAAAATGGACAATTAATCAATTTTTCATTTACTTTATGCTTAGCATCTTTATCCCATCCTTTAGCAAAAAGAGCTTGGAAGAATCCTTGCAATTATTATACTAATAATAGTTTTCTCATAGGCCACTAGACTGTGTTGCAGGATCAATATATCACACTTGCACTGTGATTCTTCTTTTCTCACTGAGCTAGCTGCATCTGCCAGTGTGCTTGGGGATGCTCATCTTCATCTGTTGTATAGCTTTTGTGGATAACTAATTACACATCACTGCAGCCTAACTGAAGTAATTCTTTCTAGGTACGACACCCTTTTCTGATCCAACAAAATGTGGAAATATACATTTCCGTATCTGTTCCAGCAAAATACCAGACTCAGGGTTCATTGTTTGAGTAACACGTTTCTGAACTAAATAGCCTATTGATGAAAGGCGTGAGAATGACAAGTACCAAAGCAGAGTCTTTTCTGTGCTGGCTCCATATGTTTGGAATATCCTTCCCCAGGAAGTATATATGTATCCTTCCCCTCTTTCCTGTCCTTTAGTTAGGGTTAGTTACAGTATATTGTTAATTAATTATAGTATATTGGTTTTTTAGCTGATGGGCTACATCATGTATTTAATATTCTTGTTCTTGTGGTATGCACATGGAAAACTCTGTAGGTATAAAGCTATGCTGGTAGTTTTTCAGGTTAGTGTTTGGGAGCAGGTAGGGCAGATAAGAGCTGACTTTGGCTATGCTAGATATAAAGGCCCTTTATTTTCCCCTCAAAGGGGACTTAATTGAGCACATCAACTATGCCAGGCTGGAAATTGCACGCTTAATGTGTGTATACCTGTCTGATTTTTCTGACTGGCATAGCAATAGTGGGGACCCCTAGTAGGAAACTGAACTGTGACATGAGCTTGGTGCTGATTTATATTTGTTCTGTGAATACAGCTGCCATTGACACCTTGATAGCTTCTGTTCTAGAATGACAAATAACAGCATGGGGTGTGGTGTGGTATTCATTGCAGCCATTGCTGTGAAGATGTCTTATGTAGAATAATCAGACACATTAAGTGCATGTATGCATTTAATGTCCTGAATTAAAGTAGTTGAATTGAGGGTTTGCCAATGAAAAACAGTGGGCAGGAAAAGAATTAAGCACTCTCTGCAGACCTGCTCTTCAAGCTACTTTTTGCAAGTGGGATGGGAACATGAGCTTGGGAATCCTGTGCTTCCTGCTGAGCACAGTTCCAAGCCAGCACAGAGGAAGCAATCAAGGCAAATTACTCAGTATTTCCTTATAATTACTCATATACTTTATGAGACACGTGATTCATCTACTCACCTGGAGTAGGAGGATACTGGGTTCTTACTGTAGGAACTGGTAGAGTGAAATTAAGAGTATTATTAAATTTACAAAATTGGCAAAATTGGATATTCAAGCACAATGTCTAACATGTGAAATGAAGAAAAGCAGTAAGAGGGTGAGTTTGCAAGAAGGATTAAACTATTAAAAGATTAAACTGGGAGTTTAAAGCATTTTGTAGAAGAACATTCTTCTATTTTGCAGAACGTGCATTTTCAATCCAAGCTGTGCTGAAAAAGACAATGCAAGGACTTTTAGCAAAATAGGAAGAGCTATGCCAGTTCAGGCCAAGTGTGTATCTGGACTAGCTTCTGTTCACACAGTCACCATCTTGCTGCCTACAGGAAGGCCAGAAGCAGGATGAGTGCAAGAGCAAATGATGTTTACTGGTGTACTGACTTTGGACCAGGAGCCATTGATAGGGTTTTCCTCCATGAATTTGCCCCATCCTCTTTTCAAGCCATCCAGATGGCCTTCACTGCATCACATGGAAATTATAGCTCAGCTATGCTCTGTGCGAAGAAGTGCTTCCTTTCGTCTGCCTTGGATCAGTGGGATCTCCCACTGATCTCCCACTGATCAGCTTCAGGGGCTGCCCTGGGGTCTGGTATTATGAGAGAGGGAGCTACACTCTGTTGATATCCTCTGGTCTACTGTATAAATTCCTTATAACAGTGCCATCTAGCAATGTACTCGTAATCATTGCAGTTGTCCTGGCTTATGTTACATAACTACCTATTTATATCAGGACTTTTCAACCTCAGTGTACAAATGCTGTTTAAATAATGATTAACGATCCAGTGTAAAGGATGTAAGCTGATTATGACTATGCCAGTAAGACTGAATTTGGGTGGTGAGAAATGCAGCCAACATGGAATCACTTAAAAAAGGAAGAAATAAGTAAAGTTGGGGAAACCAAAGCTTTGCAGAAGTATAATATGACCCTTCCCCCTCAACTACAAAAGAAACCCTAATAGAACAATAAGAGCTGGAACAAAATGCTTTAAAAACCACCCAGTGAGGACTGAATACATTTGGTAGCTTTGGAATACTGCTTGTGTTAGCGCAAAAAGAAGCACAAAAACTACAGGGATGGGAAAATGAATGTTCTGTTTGAGCTCCTTATAGCTAATGCTGTTAATGAGATTGCCATCGTTGGCTGGCAGAAGCCCAGGAGAGGCACCCTTGAAGATGAGGATAAGCTGCAGCATTTTGTTGCAGGTCTCTCGTCTCCCTTTTGTTATTTTGAAGAGGTTACGCTATCACTTTGGACCACACTTTACAGAGAGGTATGCTGTGCAGCTTTAGCGTGATGAAATGACTTCTTCATAACCAAATTGTCTACACACAACCTGGGCATCACACATGACTTTCACTGAAGTAAATTTCAAATGTAGTGTCACAGCTGCTCTTTCTACTTGCCAGTCTTGTAGTGGTAGCTTGAAACAGAGCAGCAAAAGAAATTATGATAGGGTTTATTGGAGAACTTCCTGTCACCAAAGAAACTTGTAAATTAATGTATTCTGTAAAAAATGAATTTGTTGTTTCATTGTTAAAAATAGCAGGCGAAACATGAAATGGCAGAAAAGGGCATGTAGCATTATGTGTGCGTGTATAAGCATTCATCAATCATAGCCTATAGAATTTATATACATAATCTCTGTCTGTCTGTCTGTCTGTCTGTCTGTCTGTCTATAGGCTATAGAATTCTAACCTATAATTCTAGAATTCAGAGTCGGTTTCTCATCCACAACACCTGTTATTTTGAGCTTTA